ATTTGAGACAACTTTTTCAAAAATGAAATTTTCCAACTTATTCAAATTTCGATTAATTTTCGTCCATTTTCGAAATTTAACTAAGCGCATTTTCTTGTAGATTTCCGCCGTAGAAGTCACTTCCGGTCTCATTTCTTCGATAACTCCAATCGTTTTTCCAAAATCACCCATTGAAATATCGTAATTTTCAGAAATTTCAAAAAATTCGAATTTCACACCGGACATTTCGAACTTATTTCTTCGTGATTATAAATACGCTATATTTTTTTAATTAGCACTTCGAGATCTACATCCCCGATTTTTTTTTTAGAAATTTGAGACAACTCTTTCAAAAATGAAATTTTCCAACTTATTCAAATTTCGATCAATTTTCGTCCATTTTTGAAATTTAACTAAGCGCATTTTCTTGTATATTTCCGCCGTAGAGGTCACTTCCGGTCTCATTTCTTCGATAACTCCAACCGTTTTTCCAAAATCACCCAATGAAATATCGCAATTTTCAAAAATTTCAAAAAATCCGAATTTCACAGCGAACATTTCGGACTTATTTCTCTAAGTACGCTGGTTTTTTTTGGGGGGGAATCAGGCCGTCGAGATCTATATCCCTGAATTTTTTGAGTATTTTTAGACAACTTTGTCAAAATTGAAATTTTCATTTTATGGAAATTTCGACACATTTTCGCCCATTTTCTGAATTTAACTAAGCGCATTATCTTGTAGATTTCGCACCGTAGAAGTCACTTTCGGTCTCATTTCTTCGATAACTCCAACCGTTTTTCCAAAATCACCCACTGAAATATCACAATTTTCAAAAATTTCAAAAAATTCGAATTTCACACCGGACATTTCGAACTTATTTCTCTAAGTACGCTATTTTTTGGGAATCAGTCCGTCGGGATCTATATTCCTGAATTTTTTGAGAATTTTTAGGCAACTTTGTCAAAATTTAAATTTTCACCTTATGGAAATTTCAACCCATTTTCGTCTATTTTCGAAATTTAACTAAGCTCATTTTCTTGTAGATTTCGCGCCGTAGAAGTCACTTTCGGTCTCATTTCTTCGATAACCCCAATCGTTTTTCCAAAATCACCCATTGAAATATCGCAATTTTCAGAAATTTCTAAAAATTCGAATTTCGTACCGGACATTTCGGACTTATTGCTCGGTGATCATAAATACGCTATATTTTTTAATTAGCACGTCCAGATCTACATCCCTGAATCTTTTGAGAATTTTTTGGCAACTTTTTCAAAAAGAAAATTTTTCACTTTGTTCAAATTTTGACCTATCCATTTTCGTCCATTTTCGAAATTTAACTAAGCACATTTTCTAGTAGACATTGGACCGCAATAGCAACTTCCAGTCTCATTTCTTCGGTAACTTCACCTTTTTTTCCAGAATCGCCTATTGAAATATCGCAATTTTCAGGAATTTCAAAAAATTAGCATTTCACACCGGACATTTCGGACTTATTGCTCGGTGATCATAAATACGCTACAGTGTTTTAATTAGCACGTCGAGATCTACATCCCTGAATTTTTTGAGAATTTTTTGGCAACTTTTTCAAAAATAAAATTTTTCACTGTATTCAAATTTTGACCCAACCATTTTCGTCCATTTTCGAAAAATAACTAAGCACATTTTCTAGTAGATATCGGACCGCAAAAGTAACTTCTGGTCTCATTTCTTCGATAACTTCAACCTGTTTTCCGGAATCGCCCATTGAAATATCGCAATTTTCAGAAATTTCAAAAAATTCGAATTTCACACCGGACATTTCGGACTTATTGCTCGGTGATCATAAATACGCTACAGTGTTTTAATTAGCACGTCGAGATCTACATCCCTGAATTTTTTGAGAATTTTTTGGCAACTTTTTCAAAAATAAAATTTTTCACTGTATTCAAATTTTGACCCAATCATTTTCGTCCATTTTCGAAAAATAACTAAGCACATTTTCTAGTAGATATCGGACCGCAAAAGTAACTTCTGGTCTCATTTCTTCGATAACTTCAACCTTTTTTCCGGAATCGCCCATTGAAATATCGCAATTTTCAGAAATTTCAAAAAATTTGAATTTCGCACTGAATATTTCGAACTTATTTCTCTGTGACCATAAATACGCTATATTTTTGGAATCAGCACGTCCAGATCTATGTCCTTAAATTTTTTGAACAATTTTAGGCAACTTTTTCAAAAATAAAATTTTCCCCAATGAACTTTATGCAAATTTCGACTCATTTTTGAAATTTAAAAGGTGAAATTTTTGTGTTCTGAATAATTGGCAGCAATATTAACAAACTTTCTTTTGTCAATTGTTTCTGTTAACTTTTGTTCAACTATCACATTTTGATAAATCATTTGTAATGTGATTTCTACAGAAATTAAAGAATAATTCATTGACAATTTATTTATATAAAAGACAAATGAAAGTAATATAGCCTTTGCCATTTTTACTGGAGATGAAGAAACATTAAAATTATTTCAGTTTTCACTTCCCGAGCACTAAGATCAGGAATAAATAGGTCAAGAAATAGGACAAATAACGTCCAAAGCTACTGGACCGATTGTTGTCAAATTTTATATGTGATTTAAGAATATACAAGTTGGATAAGTTGTACTGTACTTCAGGAGCAAAGGAAGTTCTGTGGAAATAATCTTCGCGATTTTTTTTACTTCCCGAGCATAAGCTAAGGAAGTGTTGTAATCGAGACATGACTACTTTCATGTTTCCTCGATGTTTCATGATCGATAGAGTACGAAAAAATAGGTATGCGGTTTCCGTCTGTCTGTCTGTACGTCCGCGATCTGTGTTTATTTTTATTAGAGAGATAATACTATATACATAATAATTATGTATGTTATGTTAGGAATATCATGTAGATATTCGCTAATTAAAATTTGTCTAATCATCCCCAGTAACAATAGAATGACATCATCTCCAAATTCTGCAATAGTAAATGTTGGTTAAATTTTATAACTACTTCTCCATTTGTGGTTTACAAATCCGTGTTTAATTTGTACCCTAGACATCTATATTTTTGGAAAAAAATGAATATTGTATAACAACATTTTACAACTTGACTTTGAAATCGCACAATCGAATGCTTTGAAATCTTGCAAACGTTTTAAGGCCATTGGAAGCATGGTAAATCGTTAATCAAAATCAAAATTTTACGCTCCTGCCCCCTCCCCCTCCTTAAGGAATTGATACAATTTTGTCGAAAAAATGTTATTTAAATATTAAAACTTAACAGTCCTAAACTTCTGAAGTTTTTGTCACAGATACCGACGTTTTTGGAAAAAACAAAACAAAATTGTCTTACAATATTTCGAATTTTTCGGTTTTTGGATTTTTGGATTTCTCGATTTTTCAACTTACGATTTCTCTATTTTTCGTATTTCAGTTTCAGGATTTTATAGTTATGTGATTTTCCGTTTTTCAATACTTCAATTTTGGAATTTTTCAATTTTTCGGTCCTTCAATTTCGCAATTTTTTCAAATTTTCGATTTGTCAATTTTTCAATTTTCAGGTATTTCCGTTTGACAATTTTTCAATTTTTCCATTCTTCACTTTTTCGATTGTTTAATTTTTCAATTTTTACCGTTTCTAAATATTCGATTTCACGATGAATCGATTTTTCGGCTTTTCAATGTCCCGATTTTTTACTATTCGACCTTTAGATGTTTCAATCTCTCCATTTCTCACTTTTTCGACTTTTCGATATATCAATTGATCGACGTCTAGATTTCCTGATTTTTTAGTTTTTCAATTCTTCAATATTTGTATTTTTCAATTTTTCAACTTTTCGCCTTTTCGATTGTTCAGTTTTAGAAATGTTCGAATTTTCAGTTTCTCTATTTTTCAATTTTTCGATTCCTCTATTTTTCTGCGAATTGTTCAACATTTCGATTCTTCGTTTCGATTTTTTGATATTTCGATTTTTCTATTTTACAATTTTTCGAATTTTTAAGTTTTAGAATTTTCAGTTTTTTGATGTGTTGATTTCTCGATTTTCCTGATTTTCGATTTTTCGGTTTTTAAAATTTTTAATTTATCGCTTTCTGGATCTACAGGGATTCCTATATTTCGATTTTTCGATTGTTCAATTTCCTGATTTTTTATTTTTAAATTTTGATTTTCAATTTTTCGATCTTGTGCTACTTCGATATCGAGTTTTCGGAAATAGCAAAGAGAATAGGTGCACGAATAAAAATGAAATAAGAGTGCATTAACTATTAATTTTTATGTTATTAATATGGAAACCTCAATAAATAACAATGATTTTAACAAGTTGTGCCACAGTCATAGTGTTACTTAATTTGACAAAATATGGCCGTATGTAGTACATACACAGCACAATTTTTAATTTAAAATCGTCACATTATTCTTACTTAGCGTTCGCATACCTCTCCACCCATAATAAACCACAAACATTCGAAATAGTTAATGCAAAATTTATGAATTATATGTACCATAGATGCGAATTAAACCTCACTATTTCGCAAGCATTTGCGTAGCCATGTGGGTCAACGATTTATCGTTGCAGAACTGTGTTATTGTTACAAATTTTAAACTTGGACAATTGCCTAAACCTTGAAAACTGAAATACCTTCGCGAAATACATAAAACAAATCGTCTGATAAACACTTACGCAACCAAAACTTCGGCAACTATTCGCAGGTGATTTGAAAAACTTAAAAAAAAACCTCCACACGACATCGATTCGATTCAAAAATACTAATTGGCAGTGCTAACGACAATGTGACGTTTGCGTGCGACTTCGGTGCCAATAGGCGGATTCTCTGGAAGTCAGCGAAAGCCCACGATAAACAGGATCTATTTTCAGGCGCGATGTAGGGATGCAATTTGAACACAACTGAAAATAACTGCCGTTACTACTTTCAACTCGCACATGTTGCACAACACGTTCGAATGTTCGCTAACACACCAACAAGTCATTTGAGTTGCTGCCAAAATTAATTCAGTTGAAGTTTGACTTTACTATGAGAATAGTTAAAACACGCCTAATCCGCCCGAACGGTTCGTATCTCGCTGTAAATTATTTATTGGGTGGAGTATTCGCGGCCTGAGTGAACTGTGTTGATGTGGATGTGCAAGAAAATGTGGTGGCATTGAAAATGAGTTTTTGTTTACGGCGGAGCGATGTATGATTAATGCACAAAGTTGCTGCCGTTGTAATCGATAAAGCGGGGATAATCCCGATATCTAGTTAAGAAGGACGGTTTTGTTGGTGTGGTTTAAAAGTGATTAAATGCTCTAATAATTACGAGACGGGGTCGAAGATAAAGATTAAGGCTTAAATTGCAAATAATAAGTAAGGCTGCGATTTTACGAGCTCGAAAACATATTAAATTTGCTTAGAATAACAAGCATAAAATGAAGGGATGGGTAAATATAAATTTAAATGTCATATAGTGGCGTAATGCTATAATCAAATTGCACAATAAACTTGGATTATTTATATGATCAAACGAGTTTGCATTTAAGTGATTCTCTGACAGTTTGTGGATTAAAAGATGTTTAAACTGTTACTGACACAAATTTTCTTTTAATTCTATCAATTTTATCAAATTTGGTTGCATTTCTGAAATACATATATTGTTGGTTATGTTGTACACAAATTAATGTTGAAAATTAAATTTATTTAATGTGCCGCTCACGTTTAAATAAATTGACTGCCCGCCACTACTCATATGTGACGTTTCTTTGACGATTGCATTTACAATTCCTGTTTCGACGAGGCGGCACAACTCAAGGCTTACTCTGATGTGACAGTTATTTATAAACATTCTATATTTTCCAACAGTAACTCTTTAGTCTTAAGATTTTAAACAGTCTAAGCAGTCATCAAAATTTATGAACTTACTATAAAATTCACCAAATATCCTTATCCACTGGTTTGATAGTTGTCATAAACTTCCAAATACTTATAAACAAATATACACTATAAGAACTGTTTCACACATCTCAGAATTACTCCCAAAGTTACAATGAAAGTTACTACCAACATTAATGTTAGACATTTTGCAAGAAAAATATTCTATATTACTTTGATGGTTTGATGGGGTAATTCTGTCAGTATTTAATTGCAATTCAAAATGAACATTCACTCCAGAAATGTTTTATACATTCATGGACAAAATTATAAAATATTTAGATTCGGAATTTATATAAATTTAAATCGTCATTTTGAAAAGATTTATGAAAATTTCAAAATATTCAATGTTTTTGATCTTGAGCAGAATTTTTACTTCACGAACGAAACCTGATGAAATATTGTAATAGGGTCCATTTATCAGACGCAGTCTTCCATGTTTTCTCGTTCTATGACCCCTAAAGTATGAAAAAAAAAAACCTTATTGATTGTTGCGATAATGCTATTCAAATTTTATAAAATAATATACTCCGATGCTTGTAGTTTATGAATTCGTTTCGATTTTTTACCCTAGGCATCTAGATTTTCTCAAAAGGATCTACTAATATAAGTAGAGAGAGGGGAGTTCTCTCTACTAAAATAACATCTTCTTTTACACTGTGACTGGTATTACCTATTTCTTTTTTTTTTTTTTTCTAAAAAATTGGATTGGTTTGATTGCATTTCAGGAGCAAGATTTTTTTTTTACTAATTAAACAAAATGAAGTTTTCATTGTAAAACTTTAAAACGTCAAAATTACTGAAACTTGTTACACTAAACCTAGTAAGTTTTTTATTTTCCGTCTGTTTGTCTATCGTTTTGCTAGACATATAATCTCCGAATCTACTGGATTGGTGGTTGTAAAATTTTAATTAAAGTTTGTCTTAAGAATTTGATGACTTCATCTCAGAATTTTGCAAAGTGGGTAGATGATACTTAAATTTTATAAAAAAAAGCATGCTTTCATACTTGTAGTTTATTAATCCGCCTTTATTTTTACTTTCGAAGCGTAGGCTAAGGAGATATTGTAATAGAGTTTATCGGGTGAATGCCTACTTTATATTTTCTCGACGTTTTACGACCTCTAGTTACGAAAAATTAGGTTTCCTGTTTCCGTCTGGCTGTCTGTCTGTATCTTTTTTATTACTGTTTATTCAAAAATTAAAAACCACCACCTGTTGAACTTAGTTGAGACCAAATAAAACTCCCCTAAGACTTATTTTTACACTGGCAAGTTGGTAGTACGAAAAAACTTCAAATTTGAGATTTTGTGACAAAAATGTCAAAATAAAATAAACAAAAACAACGTCTTTTGAAAGAAAAACATAGTCATCCTAACCTCAATTTTTTTGACCACACATCTTGACACCAAAAATCTCCCTAGACAATGTTGTTGGTTGAGTTGACTGTTTACCCAAAACGTCCAGATTTTTGGAAAAAAATCAAATTTATAAAATTTGGCGATTTAATTTTTAATCTGGCAAAATGAAATCTTGCAGATGTTTTAAATTTATGGTAAGCGTAATAAATTTTTAATCAAAATCTATTTGCTCATCCCCCCTCTCTCATCTTAAATGTACAAAATATGATGAGTCTACACTTGTGATTTATTTTTAATATATAAATAATATTTTTTAAATTTGGTTATACAGGGTGTCTGACAAATTAATTAGTTGTTCAAAAATAAATATCCAATCAGATTGAGGAATTTAACTCGTTACTATGGAAATATGCTTTTAAATTTAACAAGTTTTTACAAGTTTAATAGGGGCAAAATCAGTCTTATCTTAGCAAGTGCCCTGTTTTCTCAGAGTTTTACCTTCGCAAGTACTAGCCCCGCCCACCCGCCCTCTGTTTTTTCAGAAAGTATGGCGTTTGCCAAAATCAGTCTTATCTGAGCAAATGCTAGGCCCGCCCACCCGTCCCTATTTTCTCAGAGGATAAGTCATTTGCCAAAAAGACTTATCTTGGCAAGTACTATCAAGAACCACCTTCTGAGAAAATAAAGGGCTAGTACTTGCTAACATAAGTCTTATTTTGGCAAATGACATTTCCTGTAAGAAAATAGGGGGAGGGTGGGCGGGCCTAGTACTTGGTAAGATAGGGCTGATTTTGGCAAATAACATATTCTCTGGAAAAATAGGGGGCGGGTGGGCGGGCCCAATATTTGTTAAGATAAAACTGATTCTGCCCAAATTTACCTAGTAACAAGTTGAATTTCTGAATGTACAAAATATTATGAATAACTCAACTCAACTTGTGATTTATCATTGCATTCATATTTTTTAGATTTGGGTATACAGGTGTTTAAAAAAAATAATGAATGTGTCAATGCATTTTATTGATTAAATCAGGAACGGCTCACTTCAATTTTCCAGAAAATTTTGGGAATACAATACTGTTATTTTTAGTATTACACTGCACCAATCCAAGTTGTTGTACGTGTCCTTCTAAAAATGTTGATGATGTCATCACAAAATTCTGTAAAGTAAAAACTCAAAAATGCTGAATATATTTCACTGTACTTGCGTGGGAACTTCAGTCGAAACAGTTTTCGACCAATTTTTTTAAGTAAACACGATTTAAATTTTATAAAATAATATTCTCTTGTACCTGTAGTTCATGAATCCGCTTTGAGTTTTTTCCTAGGCATCGAAATCCAAATAATCTTTTATATTAGTACAGTGTTGCAAAATTACCATATTTTAAAAACTTGTAAGTAAGTTGTGTAATTTCATTAATTTTACGGTAATTTTTGGTAATTTAGAAAATATAAGAGACACTATTCCCGTTATTAAAAAAAAGTATTCACTGTAAAAACGATATGACATCAAAAAGTGATAAAAAATAACCTGCTCTATAAAAAGATCTAAAAATAAATTCGTAAAAAATAAAAAAAATGGTCGGCAGAATTTCCCTTGCTTATAAAGACAAATAGAACAAATAATCGAAAAATTATAAAATTTAATTTTGCCAATTTTGTGTTTAAATAATAAACTCTGTAAGTTAAAATAACGATGAGTGTGCATTGTTAACGGATAAGTAAAGGAGCATGCAATGCGCGTTTCAAGTGAGTTTTTCCGTAACAAAATTTCCTAATGACGTCATCAACATTTTATCAACGACATGTATATCAATTTGAATGGATGCAGTGTAATAATAATAATAATAATAATAACATTACTCTGTACACTCACATTTTTTGGGAAACTAGGGCAAGTCATTCTTGATTTTTGTGTCACTCTGTATAAGTAATATTAAAAATATGAGTCCACTGATTTATTCAGCAAAATTTTGAGATGACGTCATCATTTTTTTGGGAGGGGGTAAACGGCTAAATTTAGATTAGGAAATCACCATGCTCGCGACAAGTGTAACACACTGGATCTGGTTGTTAGAGTAAAAACTCAATATGGATTTATAAACCATCATATTTCCTGAAGAAATTCTGGTGATGATTTCATCCCATTGTTGGTGCGGATGATTAGACAATTTTTGTTTTGCGTTTTATCATTTACATGATACATTTGATTTTACGATTTTCCTTTTATGATAACCTCTGTAAAGTAAAAACCAGAGGCACAAATAACACCTCTTTTGCTTCAGCAGTAGATAATAGCAATCTGAAGCTCAAGTGTTTATTTATATTTATACATCGAAAGAATGTCACGTAGAAGTCAGTTTGATTTGAATGAGTTCTCAAAACTTCTTCAAAACAGGACTAAAATTATAAATTAAACCGCAATCGAACAAAATGTCCTGAATATTAGAATGCTTATTTTATTATTATTATTATATAAAGACGTGCGTGATCTTCACATTTTCGAGAAAATGGGATGACTCGTTCTTAATTTGACCAATAAAAAATTTGTGATGTCGTCATCAACAAGGATAATTCTAGTCACAGCATAAAAGAAAAGAAGCCACAGAATTACACCAATGCAAGAAAAAAAAAAGGAACCTAATCCTGTCGGGAATTAAACGTTATTATACCTTGCAAATGAATTTTCGAAAATCTGAACATTTAGCAAAAAAACTGAAAGTAGATTCGTACATCACAACTATATGAGTATATTTTTGTGTCACATTCAAATTGTTCGTGGG